CCTGATGGAAGGAACATTGTTGGATGTAAGTGGGTGTTTAAGTTGAAAAGAAACTCAGATGGAAGCATAGCCAGATATAAAGCAAGACTAGTAGCTCAGGGATTTTCTCAAGCTGCAGGTTTTGATTTCAAAGAAACATTTAGCCCTGTAGTCAAACATTCCACCATCAGAATTGTCCTTACTATTGCTGTTCACCACTCTTGGAAAATCAGACAGTTGGACATAAATAATGCTTTTCTCAATGGTGATCTTTCAGAAGAGATTTTCATGATACAGCCACCAGGGTTTGAAGAAGAGTTCAATCAAGAAAAGGTTTGCAGATTAAATAAGGCCATCTATGGTCTTAAACAAGCTTCAAGAGCTTGGTTCCTCAAAGTTAAAGGGACCCTAAGTTGCATGGGTTTTGTTTGCTCAAAGTCTGATAATTCTCTCTTCTTTAAGAGAAGCCAAAACACAATTGTTATTGTCCTTATATATGTGGATGACATTTTAGTTACAGGTGACAGCAACATTGAAGTGGAAAAAGTCATCTCTCAACTTGGTGAAAATTTTTCCCTTAAAGACTTGGGTGAATTACATCAGTTTCTTGGTATGGAAGTCCATAAAACTGAAAAGGGTCTCTTTCTCTCACAAGAAAGATATGCTCAGGATCTTCTTTCAAGACTTTCAATGTACAATGCTAAAGGATGCAAAAGCCCCATGTCAACAAGTTGCATTTTATCCAAAAACAAATCAGACAGTAGCATTGATGGCACTTTGTTTAGAAGAATCGTTGGAAGCCTTCAGTATCTAACTATATCAAGACCAGAGATATCCTATGCAGTTAACAAAGTGAGCCAGTATATGTCTCACCCTCATGAGGAACATTGGAAAGCAATTAAGAGAATACTGAAGTATATTTCAGGAAGCACTCACCTTGGTTTGGAAATTGCTAAATCTGATAATTTGAGTGTGGTTGGATTCTGTGATTCAGACTGGGCAGCAGACTTGGATGACAGGAGATCAACAAGTGGCTTCTGTGTTTATATAGGAGGTAATCTTGTATCTTGGAGTTCAAGAAAACAGGCTTCAGTTTCTAAGTCTAGTGCAGAAGCAGAATACAAAAGCCTTGCTCATGTGACTTCAGAGGTGTTATGGATTCTCAGTTTGCTAGGAGAATTGCATTTTCAGTCTGCTACTAAGCCTGTTGT